CATGATCCCAACTTCCCAAAACATGTCATTATCCCATCAAAATTTGAGATGTAATCATCTGTTCACTATTATTAATAGCCATACTAGTACTGGTGATTGATATAGAGACTAACTTGTTTCAATGGAAGCCTTGTTATAGCCTCCTTTAAGTTCACAAGTGGCCTGGAGGATAGTACCATTCATCCACATATCATGACAGCTATGCCTAAAATTACCACTATAGATACATGTTAGTAAGAGAGATTAAGTTAAGAAATATAGGAAAAGAAGAAGCAGGTAACTAGGTGAAGAGGGAGTAAAGAGGTATAGAGATGTAGTTATAGATAGTGATTCTGATTCAGCAAAGGAGAGACCTTACTAATACTGGCCAACAAGCTGGCCACCATCATTGGCAAAACAAAAATTCATATCGAGCGAGCAACCCTTGGTATACTTTCCAGAAAGTGCTTTGCAATCGGCATAAAGGCCAGAAAGGTCCCAGTCATAAGATCTAATATTATTGCAAGTGTCTCTATAGCTAGAGTATGCAACAACGTCAAGAGCAAAGTAGCTGAAAGCTGAAAAAGTAAGGATTAGTAAATTGATGAAGTGCATAGTGTAGGTTAAAAGAAACCAAAAAGTCTTGTTATTAGTTAGTTAATACAGATGAAGTAGTTGAATATTATTTTAAAGGGGGGGACATAGTGTCCTTTATAGAATTAAAGTCAAAGCTAATTTAAAAAACCAACTTATTGCTAGTTAGTATAGTTATGTAGTGATTGGCTCATGTCTAGTAGCTTTACCACTTTGTACTACATTTTTGCACTGCATTAATAACATACAGTAGAGAAGCCCCAAAAAGGAAGGCACAGTCTGAAGGTAAAATTTAAAAATTAAATTACTGCATCCTTCCTTATCTTGCTAGGGGCATGCAGTTTAGCAATATCTTAGGAAAGTTTGATAAGGTCTTAGGGAATATAGGGCAACCTTAAGATCTTATTAAATAACTATTTCTAATATATTAGCTCAGCAAGGTCTTAAATTACATTCATATATTTTAACCTTATTTAACTTTTTTTAGGTTTATATTTAACACCTGCTTACAGACTAGGTGTAATATAGAAAAATTATATAGTAGGGATTTAAAGTAAAATATATATCTCTAAGTATGGTAGTATTAAACTATTAATACCCTGAGCAATTTGCTAATTGCAGTGATTGGCTGACTGTTACTGCCAGCAACTCATCAATCAATCAATTAATCAATCAAGATTCTATTAACCTGATGTAGCCTATCTATTGAAGCAATTAGCTATGCAGGCGCTTCGCCAAATGAAGCAGGAATCTAGTATCTGAATGCCTAAAGCCCATAAAAACCCACAAATGCAGAAAAGACATAGGAAATTAGCATATAGCCACATCAAAAGCAGAATATACAACTAAAGCAGCCTGCCATTAGGCCACATATCTCCCCTGCGCCATCTTAGTGCATGTTAAACACCTATCCCACTCCATTCCATCATTTCCATGTAGTCATTATCCCTTACACCGATGCCTAGAAAATTATTTTAGCATGATTCTATGATTGGTCAGAATATTAATACAGAGGTAAAATACACAGATTTCTGCCTTATAACCAATCAGCTTAGATGCATAGAATCACACTAAAATAATTTTCTAGGCATCAGTGTAAGGGATAAGTGTAGCTGGTAGCATGGTTCCGCGCCTACGAAGACCCCTCCTAGGCAGCTGCTTAGTCCATCTAACTAGGGTTGTTATTTTCGCGGGTTGGGCCGGGTTCACCTATCTTTAGAACCCAACCCGCCGGGTTCGGGTTCTACTTTTCTAGGGCCTAAACCCAGCCCATAACACAGTGGGTTGACTATCTAGTATCTAGAACCCACTGGGTTCTATTCTGCCAAGGAAGTTATTCTCCACCTACCTAATCTAGTTAGTATGGGCTGGGTTGGGCCCATGAACCTGCCAAGCAATATTCGGTGTGTAAAACCAATAAACCATACCAATATTTAAAGAATATAAATATATAAATAAGTGTTATGTTAAGGCATATTAAGTAAAACCTCACTAGTTATTTCATTTACTGTCTTAGCTATTATAGAATATTCTGACCTATCTTGGCAGCAGCCAAACTTTTCCAAAGGGTTGGCTGAACTGTATCCTGAATACTGCCTTCATAATCTCAGTGGTTTCCACCAGCCGCCGGAGTGGCTTGGGTGTTGATTTGACTGTTGGCTGGTAGTCAAGTTCCACAAGATTAACCCACGTCAGGTGGGCCTTGACTGATTGGCGCAAGTTATCTCTGATTTAACTAGACGCAGATGCTTCTCGCAATTAGATTAAGATAGAATCTGGGAAATAACTTAAATAACTCACCTATTATAAGTATCCCCCCTCATTCTTTTATATCATCTGCTATAATCCTTTCTTTGTGTGCCTGGACTTCTTCAGCTAACAGAGAACTAAGAGCAGAGAGATTCACTAGCTTCTAGATTACCTCTCCCTACTTCTATTTTTGCTAGGTCTTATTTTCAAAACCGCTTAGGCATTATATATCTTTACTAATAGCATCTACCAAGCATCAGCTGATGTAAAAACACTAAAGAGAGTTCTAAGGGTATATCTATTTATATTTATATAATCTTTAATATTATTTAGAAGCAGCTTGTTAACCCACCTAAAAATATTAGTAATAAAGTAATTGCTACTGCATCGCGTCACATTCTAGATAAGATAAAGATGATGAGTCTTTGACATTCTTTTAGTCACACAGTGGAAAAGCTAATCTATGTATGGTCTTATAGTAAGAATGCTGGAATTGCTTGCTACAAGTAATACTGTCTCATAGTAGGAAGCAGGAACACTGGTCCTATATAGGCTGCTGTCTGCTGAAAAGTAATAGATTACAGTGAGAATTATGCAGTGCCCTTCAAAGCAGGAGCCATGTGAAACTAAGGAGGTGATTAGGGCACTTAGTATAAAGCTAGAGCATGGACTATTTCTCTGTGGACTATGATATAATAATAAAAGATGTGCTCTGAAACCATGACTAGGGATTTAAAGATGGCACCTAGAGGTCAATATACTGGCCGGGCTGAATAATCATAGGATGGCTAGGGTATATCTTAATGTGCATGGTACAGTCAGCATGCTTTATTACCTTGCTGTGACTCTATGAGCTTGCAAAAGCCCCATTGTGATGGAGCACTATACTAATCTTCAGCAGTGTATTCCCACTGAAGATAGTGGTGATGATATAGACTAGACGCCATGTATCTAGGGAGTCATGGGGCAAATGCAGCATGATGCTACTGGCCACTAAGGCAGCTAAGAGGTAGTGGGACATATAAAAGATAGGATAGTTGTATCAGTGAATTATTGGGTCCCAAGGCATAATATTATTATGCATAGAATAGATGCAGAACCCTGTTGCCTTATCTACTATTTGAATGCATAAAAGCAGAAAGGGTGGAAGTAGATGAAAGTGTTCATATATATAATAATACCTAACAGCAGCTAAGTTTGGTGTATTGAGCTGAGGCTTCTGTTTATGAACTTTATGTAGTTAAAAAGTATGTGGAAGCTGATGTGAGCACAGGCTATCTAGCTGCTAGTGCAGTGCAACTGATAATAAAGTATATAATCTAAGCCCTAGAAGGTTGGACAGAGAGCTTATACTAGGACTTGCATAAAGAAATGAAAACCTATATTAGCTAGTGCTAAGATACTACACCTGCCTCTTACGGCTTTAAGTAAGCCATCTGGATACTATATAAAGAATATATTAGTTGTAATAAATAATAGGCAGAGAATAATTTCACCCAGTGTATATGGTCTGCTGAACTGATGATGACTGATGATAATAAAATTAACTATATACTAAGTGTTTATCTAGTTAATCTTACTTGCCCATAACCTTAGCAGTGGTAGGTACCAGAGTATGAGCAGGGCTGTAATTATACTGCTAATCTAGATGGCATATACCAGGATGAGCTGTATAATATGAGAATAAAATATTGCTGCAATAGTTTGGTTTGTAAAATGAATGCTATGGTATTTAAATACCTTCATACAGTGGATAACTTTATGAGGGACCCTATTGTTAGGTTAAGGAATTCACCTTCCAGATTGCATACCCTGTAAGATGTATTGGGTGAATATCTGCGCAGCTTATTCTATATTCAACATGTAATGTGTATTTGTGCAGGCAGTGATAAGCTTAAGTTATTGTTCCCAGTAAACTCTGAGCGGCCAAGTATTTGTTGATGCCCTTGGGAAACAAGTTCTTGGCATTTTCATCGTTCAGATTTAGGTATGCTTACGTCATCATATAATGTCAAACACGCAGGAAATATTCAGATGATTAGCAGTATGATGTTACTGATTGTATTATGATTTGTACTATGCCTATGGTCAATATATTTTCAATTTTCATGCTCTAGCCTCTAGCATACATTAATATCTATTGAGCAGAGTAGCAGTGGTCTTAGTTAGAAGCCCAATAGCAAGTTCTTATGATCTAAACCCATGTTATAGTGAATAGGCTTCTAGCCTGTGATAGGTATGCGAGAGTTAACTTAGCATAAAACACTACATTGACATGCCTTAGAGGGGATTAATAGGTACCTATTTAATGTTTACCTGTTTGAAGATCCATTAGTTATACCTCTTGATTAGCAATAACATCTTGAAGCTCTCAGAGTCTAATCATTTAAGTTAGCCTCTTGTAGTTCACATAAGTAGACTTACAGACAGATAAGCCATGTGCGCAGACACAAGAACAATCTGAGCGATGGTTTTGGTGGGTCTGAATCCCCTGCAGTAATTTTTGCCGAAGTAGTTGCAGTGTTATTTATATAAGTCGACTGCTCACCGATGTATCCTACGGCATTTCTGTTCTTCAGCGATCCATTCTTTCAAGGAAACAATTTTGTTTCTTCAATTTTCTACGTCACTCGTTAATCAGGACCAACGCGAACATTCCCATATATCAATCTCTTGAAATGCAGTCCGAGGCGCTCGTTGGTCTTCTTTTTCTTCTCACTCCGGCTCTGGCCATACCCCAAGCTACATCCGTGGCTTACTCCGAGTCTTCTAGCTCATCTGACTCTTCCGACTCTGCCGACTCTTCGGATACTGTCTCGGGTGCTTCGCTACCCGCCGACTACATTAGCGTTTTAGAAACCGCTGTCCCGTCTTCTTGGGAATATGAGATGATGAACCCCGCCTCTGCAGCCGCAGTCATGAGCGCCGCTGCGGCTGGCACGTACCCAGCCTGGTACAATGACCTGCCAGAAAGCATCAAAGCTGTTGTCACCGCTCTTGGCGGCTTCGACGCGAATATCGTTGGTGAAACTGGTTCAATGACCACGGCTGCAAGCACTAGCTCATCCGGACATGCCGCCGAGACTGCCTTGGCTACTGCAGTCAGTAGCTCAACTGGCTCAGACGCCGTGGAAACTCAGGCTTCCACTCAGTCTTCTGCTACCTCGGGTGCTGCTTCTAGCCACAAGTCGGCAATCCCTACGTCTGCGAGCTCGACTGGTGGAGCACCCATCGCTACTGGTGGTGTTGCTGTGGGCGTTGCTGGTGCTGCCGGTCTGCTAGGTCTTGTCCTTGCCCTGTAGTTTGTTTTTTATTTGGTCACATTATGGGTGTAGCAATTAGAGAATTCTTTCGCTGGCTGCATACACGTGTGATAAGTCCAACATATCATCCACACTGCCCATCGTATTAGATGTATCCAGAAGCTGTCCATATAATAAAACTCCCTGAAAGAAGCAGTGGACGACCGCATGTCCCCTTTATTTCCCGCAATGCCAGAGACTGAGCTACGAAGTCCTCACACGGCGTTCAATGGCACACACAAACTCCACATGGCCACAAGTCAAAAAAAGAGTTGAATAAAAACATATAACAGCCAGGATTCACTGGTGGTCACCCACCTAACTACTAACCGGCTGGCATGTGGCTTAAACATAGTTAATACTCAGGTGGGTGCCCTTGCTAGGTGATGGGGGTGATGCTGCTTGAACAGGGTGGTGATTAGTATAAGTATAGTTTAGAGGGGTGGTGATATCTGGAAAATACATTACTAATCTAGAAAATATATTCACTAGTCTAGAAAATATATGTCACACCCTGGGATCTGTCTCTGCTGTTCTCTGCTAGTCAACTACTTTGGGAATGGGGTGCTATAGTCCCTAGACTTATAGCCTATACTTGCCTAAGGCCTACTGACTAGGTAGCCTAATAATATAGTGATATAATGACCTCCTAGGGTTAAGGATAATCTAAAGATAATATAAGAATAATAATAGTAGAGATAGAAGTAAGGCCTATTAAGTATATATACTTAATAATAAGAGAGTAACTAATAAATTAGACTAGTAATCTTATACTTAAGTAAATAATTTATATTAATGTGATATTGACCAGCATGTATATGACTTCAGGGAAGTCTATCAGATATGTAATAATATCTAGTGATTACTATTACTATTTATATAGTTAGTTAGACCTTATATTTATTCTTTAGCCTAGGTTAAATTATAAAAGAAGACTGGAATCTCTTAAAGTTAAAGAGATATATATAGGGTAGCTGCTAGCCTACCCCCTATTCTTATACTCTTTAAAGACTCTACATCCTTAATAATAATGAATATCCTATCTAGTAGCATATCTAGATTAAGTAAATATATAATACTTAATTTCTAGGAAGGTTTAAAACCCCTYMTAAAGGATTAATCTAAACTATAGTAGCCTTAGCCTACTAACTCTTAGAAATACTATTAATAATTTAACTTTAATAAAATCCCTTATATTAATTATCCCTAATTTAATAGAAAATACCTTAGATTAATAGGTTTTAACCTTCTTAGACTGATTAAGATACCTAAGATAGTAATAATTTATTATAGGGATATCCTTATTAACTCTTCCCTATAGTAATATTAGTTATAGATATTATAGGCTAAAAGAGTCTTTTAAAAAGTAATAGATATAGGATTAATAGTTTAACCTTAGAGAAGGATAAATTAAGAGATATTAAAATTATTTTAATAAGTTTAAATTAATATTAATATTAATTAATCTAACTTCTACTCTTAATTAGATATTATTCTTTACTTAATAAAATAGATAATATTAAATCTATATCTTCTAGTATAAAGACCCCTTAAACCTAGGCTACTAATTATAGTAATAGCTTTAAGATAGAATATCTTTAACTTTAATAGTAATTTACTCTTACTACCTAGGGCATAAATAAAGCTATCTAGGCTAAACTAATCTAGCTATATAACTATTTAGTTAAACTTCTCTAGGATTAGTATAACTATCTAGGTTATACCTATCTAGATAGAGCTATAGAAGCTACTACTACTACTCCTAACCCTAATCCTCTCCCTACTATTATCCCTAAAATACTTAAACTATATTAAAAGATTTCTAACCTTAAACTAATCCCTATATATAATAGTAAGTATAGTAAGGATACTATAATAAAATAGCTCTAGTAGATTAATAAATACTTTTATAATAAGTAAACTCTTACTTAGAAGAAAGCTACTAAACTTAAAAAAGTTATAATAATTAAGTATTATCTTATAGGCTAGGCTAAAGAGTAGTAAAATATTTATAAATAGAAGACTAAATATAATCTAATAGCTACTATAACTACCTTAGATACTTTTAAATAGTAGATCTAAGACTATTTTAGAGAAATTAGAGAAGAGAATAAATATTAAGAAGAGTATAAGAGATATATCTAAGAAAACTAAATTATATAATCTTATATTACTTCTCTAATTAAAGCTACTAAATATATTAAATTTAGAATTCTAGATAATATATTAATCTAAAAGTTTATTACTAATTTAAAGCTAGTTCTATGTACTTACTAGGTAGAAGATTATAATAAATTAGCTATTTTTAATAATATAGTTTATTATTTTACTAAGTATAAATAGGGAGTAGCCTTATATACTTAAATATAGCTTTAATTCTTTAGTAAGATTAATAATTACTAAATAGATCTAATAGATATTAATTTAAATGCTATTACTATATCTCCTAATTAACTAAAGAAGGGAATATATAAATAAAAGGTATAGTATTAAATTAATTAAGCTTACTTTAATTATAGATAAAAAGGCTATAATATTTAAGCTTATACTATACTAAACTAGCTATAATCTAATTATAAGAAGTAGTTAGGAAATATAATAGACTACTAGATATAGAAGTACTAATTAGTTAATTATTATAGGCTTCTAAAGTTAAGGACTATAAAGTATTTAATAATCTTAAATTATTAAAGGATTATAATAATTCTAATAAGGATAGTAATAAGGAAAATTAGCTACTATAAGAAGGATTATTTAATATAATAGAGGTAGATTTAGAATAAGAAGATTATAATAGTATTAATACTTATTTAAATACCCTTAAATCTAATATTCTCTATTTCTCTACTATACTTAAAGCTTCTTAGATAGTAGTCTATCTCTAAGCACTATTAGACTATAGCTCTAGTTATATATTTATATTAAAATATCTAGCTAATTTATTACCTTCTTCATGGTTTTAATTCTAATAAATATCTAAATAACTATAGGTTTATCTACTAAATAGTAGATTTATATATATATTATATTAAATTTAAATTCTACTTAAGCTAAGTAATTAGTACTATATTATTACTCTCTAGGTCCTTAAAATAATAGAGTATAATATTATCTTAGATTAAGATTAGCTAAAATATTTTAACCCTAATATTAATTAGGTTACTAGATAGATAGTTATTAAAGAATATAGAATAAAGTATATAACTATCTATCTTATTAATCTAAGAACCTAAATTAAGATTAATAAGAAAATATCTCTTAATCTTATCTTTATAAAACAGCTTTAATATACTCTTTAGAAGGGTTAATAGGAAGCTTAGTTATATATTATTTAAGAATAGAAAGAGAGTAAAGAAGTATTAATTAATCTATAATAATTAAGTTCTCTTCTAGCTTAGTATAAAGATATATTTAGAGAAGAGTTAGTTATAGGAATATCTCTAGTTTAATTATTAAAATATTATATTAATATAGAAGATTTATTACTAATTAATATTAACTCTTACCCTTAGTTACTAGAGAAGTTTAGTAAGATAAAAAGGTAAGTTAAAGAGCTTTTAAAGAAAGTAGTTATTTATCTATTAACTAGTGCTTAGGGCTTTCCTATTATAATTATTCTAAAGCTAGATAAAAAATAGTAATTTTATATTAACTACTACTTATTTAATAAGATAACTATTAAGAATATCTATCTACTATTAAGAATTTAAGAACTCCTAGATTAAATAAGTTAAGCTAAATATCTTTTAAAGCTTAATCTCCTCTTAGGATATTAATAGTTATAAATAGGTAAATTATTAATTCTAAAGATAGCTTTTAATATATTATTTAGTAAGTTTAAGTAGTTAGTAATACTATTTAGACTTTATAATACTTCTATATTATTCTAGATAATAATAAATAGTATTATATAAGACCTTAACTTTATAATAGTTTACCTTAATAATATCTTAATCTTCTTAGACTTAGAAGAGGAATATTAGAAGTATATTTAATAAGTACTTAACTAACTCTAAGAATATTAGTTATATATAAAACTCTCTAAGTATATATTTACTAAGAGAGAAATATAGTTTTATAATTATATTATTAGTAATAGATTAGTTTGACTAATGCCCGCAAAAATAGAGGTTATAAAGATATAACTAAAATTAATAAATATTTATAAAGTTTAATAATTCTTAGGACTAGCTATATACTATTACTAATTTATATATAAGTTTATAAGGATTATAGCTTCTCTTTATAAGCTTCTAAAGGAATTAGATGCTTTACTTTATAAGAAGAAGTTTTAATCTATAATCTAGAATACTTAATATTAGTAAGTATTTATAATACTAAAGAATATAATAGTTTATATATCTATTTTTAAGATCACTAATCCCTTACTACTATATTAAATTAAGACTAATGCATCTAAATAGGCTCTTAGTATAGTATTATTATAATAAGATAAAAAGGAATAGTAGTATCCTGTAATATTTAATAGATAAAAGCTTAATAATACTAAAAAGAACTATTCTATATATAAGAAGGAACTTCTTATAATTAAGGAAGTACTCTAATAATAGGACTACTATATTAATAATAGTTAGCCTATTATAATTATAATAGATTATAAAAGCCTTTAATATCTCACCTATATAAAGATATATTTAAAATATCTTATATAATGGATTGAAGAATTTTAAATATATAATCTAGTTATTAAGTATTATAAGGGAACTAAGGCAGTTATCCTAGATATAATAAGTCTTTAACTAGACTTTATTAAAGAAGGTCTAGTGAATTAAGCATAAATACCTACTTTTAGTCTATCTATAATATAGTTATAGTAGATAACTAGTAAAGAATACCTTTATATATTATTATATCTCTATAAATTAGAATAGCATCTATTAATAGTCTTATTCTTAAAAGATAATAACCTAGATATATCTAATAATATTAAAATAAAAATTAAGATATTAGCACTAAACTTTTAACTAAAGGTAGAGTAT